CTGAAAGCCTAAATTAATGTTCTTTAACAATACGTCCGAATGGAGTGCAGGTCAGCCTCCGTTTGGTCACATGAAAAGGCTGAAAAGCACCTTGAGCGACCCTGAACTCATTTATTCTGGTTCTTGTGCTGAAAACGTCCGACATTAATCATTCTGGACGTCTCCCTTATACTTCCTTGACCCACATTATAACAATTTGTTCAGAGGACGTAAATGGGACGACAAAATGAGTCATTTTGTTTGTTGGTTGCTATGGCGTTGTTTACTTGTTGCTGCGGTGTCAGCGGTGGATATTGTTATGCGAAGAGAAAGACAAGGAACAAAAACAAAAAAAAAAGCCTTCAAGTCTGTCTGCTCTGATGCAGCCTGATCACATGACTGCTGTTTGTTCTCTGGAGCGGAGGCTGTGTGTTTGTTGCGTCTGTGGATGCGTGGACAGATATCGCCTCTGCATACAAATGTCCATGTGTGTGTGTCTGCTGTGTGTGATGGAGTCCAGGTCAGAGCCGCAGGGTTTGGGTCGCTTTTTCCCACACTGGACTGTTTGTTAATGCTGCTACTGTGGTTTGGTTGTGTGTTTTTTTCTTCACTTGTAGACACTCACACACACATTGAGTTTATTCCTATAAAACATGTTTAGAGTCATATTTACTGCCGTTACACAGTCAGTCTTTGAAACATTTATGTGTGCTTTGCCTTGATGTTTAGCTAATTAGCTTCAATGTAGATGTATTGGACTCAGACTGAGCTAAAAACGTTTAAATAGAAAATGAATTCATTAGGTAAGTCGCTGGGGTCTGAAATACGACAGCATTTACTGGAGAGCATGCACATATTTACACACAGACACATATTTTCAGGGTCAGATCGTTTTGACAGCATATAAACGGATAAACAGAAGCTGTACACTGTAAAGGGAAAAAAAAACACATTAAAAAAATACTAAAATTCTGGTAGCAAGGGTGCCAGAAAAAATATGTTAAAATGGTGGAATGCTGTAAAAAAAAAAACCTGTGAAGGTAATGGGGAACATCTTCAAAATATTGGTATTTTAAGCGAATTTAAATTCAGTAAAATGGTGTAATTTTTCAGTCACACATTGTGAAAGAACAAATGACTATTTGTGAAAGATTACAGATGGTTTCTATCACCATTATGTATGTTTTAAGTTTTGTTTATTTATCTGTGTTATTTAACAATATTATCTTTAAGTTAACAAAACAGAGCAAATCTGGAAAATAATAATGCATAGAACTGCTTATTGTTTTTAAATTAATATTCATATTAAAATACGTTTTCTTCTTGTAAATATCGGCAAATATATTTGTAGTGTAGTGACATTTTTTCTCAGTTAAATACAGTGAAAAGGTGTAATTTTACATTCAAACACTGTAAAAGAATAATTTGCGATTTGTAAAAACACAGATATTAGATGTGGACATTTATTTTATAGTTTTTTATGACTAACATGTAAAAAAACACTTTTTTTCTCAGAGTTTTACTCCATATTATCTATAATTTGACAAAACAAGGAACATCTGTTTAATAGCAGTATTTTTTTTTTTAAACTGTTAAACTTTAATTTTCACGGTGTAGCAGTGTCACATCATTACCATTTACGGTATCCTTTTTGATTTTAGGGTCATCCAGTTAATCCTCTATCAGTAAATCATTAGAGTAACCGGACTGATGCCGACTCACTCAGGGAGATGAAAGCAGCAGTATTTCCACTGGCTACCAAAACCTCAAACTAAACCGGGCTTAAATTATTAAAGACCGAAGGATCGATGAGCTCTAATGTGATCGGTTCTGCTCTCAGTACTGGAGAAATTAAAAATATAGATTTCCAATTTATTATAGCTGCATAAACATTATCTTACACATCGTTTCTCACCAGCTTCTGCTCCTAATGTTTGGAGTTTGCAGCCACAGACCCTGAGGGACGAAGACAGAGAAACGGAGGTTAAACTTCATTAGAGTCGATCTCTTTGCTGCAAGCGTAACACGCCGTCTGCATGTAGGAGCAGAAACGCCATAAGTCTGTTTAAACATCCAGCAAAATGCTTCATTCACTACTGTTTATGTTGTGTTTGTGAGCCCCAACGCACAAAGTTAATGACATAATACGAACATGGATCAGTGATTAAACAGTTAATCGTTGGTTGAAATGATCTGAGCATCGTCTGATCTGTTGCTCATAAGTTCAGTTTCAAAGCACTGAGAGCAGGAAGGGTTTAGTGACTTGCAAAATCTTGCTTCATAAATCTTTTTTGTTGGCAGCGGTACCGGAAATACACTAATGTTTAAAGTAAACCTAGTAATACTACACTGTGAAAATACTGTCAACACACATTTTTTCAACTTAATAGTGAAGCATGAGCATCGTTCGTCTTCTGTTTTGCTTTTTCTTGTAAGATACCCTTAAAAGAACCGGTAAGAGTCCTGTTGAAGTCGTGTAGTAGTGCCATTAAATTCTTAACGATGCCCATTCCTAAGCTTAATGTGCACGTTTTGCTCTTTGCAAATGAGCAGCATGTCGAAGCAGTCGACTATACTGTCATTTTGTTATTGTAAAAATGAATCTTGAAGGCCTGTAAAGTTGATTTGTACCGATTGTGTTCAATATTTACCGAAGTGAGCTGCTTGCAGATAATAGTATGGTGTCAGTTGAGGTGATTCAAATGCTTCAAATGATTTTTGTTTGCTCTCTGAAAGGCACGGATGGATTTTGTTTGGTTGAAAGATTTAAAGTTCTAGAAATGTCAAGGTGAGGATCGCAGCAGGAGGAGGATAAAGGTTGCTTTTGTTGTCTTGCTTTTCAAATACAGCCGTGCACACAAGTGTCTTTGCTTCAACTATTAACATACGCGGCAGAGTCAGCTGCATCCATAATATGAGCCCAGAGCTAATCTGCCATGCTCAGGCTGACAGGTGTTTGTGATTTAAGGAAGGAGGAGGACGGCGAGAGGAGAGGGGAGGTGGGGAGGGGGTTAACCGATGAGACGAAAACAGAAACATGTGAAGGAACATCCTGCCCGAATGCCGACTGACTTCACAAATAACGTGAGCTGTGGGAGGAAGCAGGAGATGAATGAGAAAGCAAAAGAAAGACCGCAAGAATAGAAAGGATGCCTTCGCTTATTGAGATGCACGGCGAGACTCCGGAGAGCTGTAATCAAATAGGCCATCAGATGTTCAGTGGAGCAGCATCTCAGGAATGCGGTGGATTTCTTTCAAGGCGCTGTGACACATCCTCCCTGCATGGACGGAGCCTGGAGAGTTTGCACACATAAAAACCGCAAATGTCAAGCTGCCCCGTTTCACTGTCATTTAAACAAATGATACAGAGGAGCGAGTAAGACACCACTATTAAAGGGGAAGGAATAATATATTTAACTTGTCTTGCGACACTTTCACAGTCGAGTGTTAAACTTCATCTCCCTTTATTTCCCTCTCTCTTGTAGTTGAGCCTCGAGGGAAGATTTGCAAAGCAGTCACGGGGCTCTGCCTGTTTTCAAGTTGTGGCTGTTTTATGTGTTATTATGCCGAGAGTGGTGTCCAGCACAAGAATGTTGTTTATTAGTCGTCAAATTCACGCCAACACACAGGAAAGACACTGTCCTGACCACCACAGCTCACACACACACCAGACACAACAGGTTATTTCTACCTAACGAACTGGGTTAGTGGGTTTTCTTATGACTTTTACGGAGGTTTTCTAACTCATCAACAAAGTCGTACTTGTTTAATAGGAAATCCCCCGCGCTGTGTGTCACCAGACTTTATTACTGACTGCAGATCTAATCGAGTGCGACAATCTTAAATTCAGGTTAAAACAATCCAGTCGGTTGTGTTTTTTTTGTTTAAATGGATTATCCAGTGCTTTCTAAGTAGAATCCCTAAAAAGCCACTGGGCTTGTCTTGTCTTGATAAGCAGCTTTGTCCTTATTTGAGGTATTTCTAACTGCAAATACGAGACTGCGAGGGACAAATCCATCGGAAAGTTTGTTTTGCATTAACTAGGCTTAGCTAGACTGTTAAAAAATGTGCCTTTTATAATCTTATTTTATGATTTTGCTTGTTCGCCTTTAGCCTGTTATCAAGTAACATTAATTTATTGCTTAAAACAGTCCGATTTGCTTGTTTTAAGCAAAAGCATGCATACATCTAGAAATTTCAGCCTTAAATTTTGCCTTTTTTGCATTAAAGTAGTTGAAAAATACAGATTTAACAACTTCTTTTTGAGTTTATTAAAGCATCTCAAAAAAAAGTTTAAATAGTCCAGCCACTGAAAGTTAAAGAAAAACATACTCAGGCAAACTTTTCTGTGCAACTAATGGGCTGCCGCCATTAAATGATTTGGCTGAAAGCTTTGAAATGGAAACAGCCCTAAAGGAATGTCCTTGTTCTGTAATAGTCACACATAGACTTATTTTTTTATAAAAAGGGAGCCACATGATTTCTGCTGTAGAGCTTCATGTTAATCGTACAAGCAGAGACCAAAAAAATGTGCTTTGTGCGTGCAGACATTTTTTTTTTTAGGTTACACTCTCTGACCTTTTTTTTCCATTTCGTCCTCCTCTGAACGCTCCCGTGTGTGTTTTTTTCAGAGAGGAGAAGAGCGAGCAGCTTCTGGACACCAGGCAGGAGCTTGAAAACATGGAAGTGGAGCTCAGGAAGCTTCAGCAAGAGGTAACAGTCACAGCGACTCCTCACGCACCTACATGCAAACAACACAGCTTCCCTCCTCTGTCCAAGCACTGTGTTTCTGTAACGCTGCCAGGCTTTAATCAGCTGGCTTGTGACTTAGCTCATTAGAGGCTATTAGAGCTATCTTTAGTGGAGCAGCAGCCTGACAACATGGCTTTTGATTTGGAGTGGGCGGCAATCTGACGCGTGAACTGCAGTAAACAAGGTGGATGAGTTCAGGGCACGGAGGGCAGCTTATATATGTGTGTGTGTGTGTGTGTGTGTGTGTGTGGATGCGTGTTTGTGATAATTGATAGTGTGCAGAGTTTGGTCTGCTCTTGATCTCTTTATGTAACAGACAGCGGTTAATGTCGTTAGAGTTGATGGATAATACACCTGTCATGCAAGACAACGGATCCACTTTACCCACTTAGTAGTTATAAATAAATCTGTATTTTTTTAAAATCCTGGTTGTACGTCACGTGTTTTCTCTGTTATTAATCCACATTGTTCTGTGTTCGGCGTTCAACTCCCCCCCAGAGCTACCAGCTGCTGTCGGACGCCCGGTCGGCTCGGGCCTACCGCGACGAGCTGGACGCGCTCAGAGAAAAGGCGATACGAGTGGACAAGCTGGAGAGCGAGCTGATCCGATACAAGGAGAGGCTTCATGACATCGAGTTTTACAAAGCCAGAGTCGAGGTACATGAAGATCAAACAGCGCCTTCGAGCCCAGTCTTAATAATCAGAGTTCAAAGTGGCCACGCTGTGACCCCACAATGCAAAATATCAACGTGCAACACGAGTTTTGACTGTAAAGAGGGATGTATTTGAATTACAGACAGAAGTATTTGCAATATTTTGCTAAACATGCATGCAAAACATCCACACAGGGTGAATATGGACGATAAATGTGTTATTTGAGAGAGTCAAATTATTTTAGTCGATTAAAGATTTTTGTTTTTGGTTTCAACCTCATCTAGAAAAACACAAAAGTAAAAACTAGATGCTTTTATTCTGAAGCAAACAACATTTTATCAATAGTAGTGTTAGTAACGTATATACAATAATAAAAATACAGTTTCTTAGATAAAAAAACAAAAACAAACGAGCTACAGTTTCTCTGTTTTGTGGTTTAACTTGTCTTCTCTGTTGACGTTGTGGTTTCCGTAGGAGCTCAAAGAGGACAACCAGATTCTCCTGGAGACCAAGACGATGCTGGAGGAGCAGCTGGATGCCACCAGGACCCGATCTGACAAGCTGCACCTCCTGGAGAAGGAGAATCTGCAGCTCAAATCCAAGATCCACGACCTGGAGATGGTAAGATGGTGGATTTATGGAAGATACAAAGAGTGACGAGGTTTAAATGAGAAGTCACGATGAGTAATTTCAGCATCTATCTTGACACATTCTCCAATCTTATCTCCAGGAGCGCGACTTGGACCGTAAGCGCATGGAGGAGCTGCTGGAGGAGAACCTGGTGCTGGAGATGGCCCAGAAGCAGAGCATGGACGAGTCACTGCACCTCGGCTGGGAGCTGGAGCAGCTGTCCAAGACGCCAGAGATGACCGAAGGTAAGAAGACGAAGAGCCGAGGATGAGTTAAAACATAGAAAAACAAAAGGTGGGAAAACAAGGGCCGCCTGTGTTGACCTGGTTGAAGGCTTCAGACGGCCGGCAGACAGACAGACAGGCAGACAGCTTTGGTCATTGGCTCTTGATCCTGGCTTTGTCTCCGTGGCCCTTCTGCATTTGCCAGCTTCCACTGTGTTTTCCTTCCGCTCGGTTAAGACCTGTAATTAATATTCAGTGGCTCCTGAAAGATAAGCTGTGTGTTTGGATTATCAGAGCTGTTAAGAGGGTTAACTAGCCAGGGATCTGGATAAACACGTTGTGTGGGTGTTTGTCTGTTAAAATGGCACTTTGAAAGCTTTAGTGCCTGCAGAGTTGGAGCATCGGGCTTTTTGCTAGTTTATTTTTTTAGGGACTTTTTGACTCCAAAATTCACCAGCATGTTTCAAAGGCATGTTCTCTTTCAAAAACCTGCGAATGTACACAATTTATTTGTACCAAACACTTAAAAATAGAAAGAATTGTCAGATTTTCAACTTATAGATGAGCATGTTAACCAAAATTTATGTTTGAAATCAGGATATTCCACCAAAATCATGTTGTTCCATATGTTTAATCTAAAAATTCACTGCAAAAAAATAAAAAATACTCTAACTAGTTTCGGTAAAAAACAAACAAACAAAAAAATAGCTGTGATGAAAATTCAGTGACTTTTTTTGGTCAAATTAGTCTGAAATGCAAGTTGTGCTTACATGAAGCAAAGACTAATGTGGAAATAAACGAAAACTATCAGTAGTAGTAAAGAAATTTGCCCTTTTTTCTTCATTTTTGGGATTTATGGGACAATTACTGTGAAATAAATTAGTTTTAAGTATTGATAACACTGTAGGCACTTGGTAAAAGAGTGTTGAATCAATGTTATTTCCATATTAGTAAAGTAATCTTTTTTTTTTTCTTCATTTTTTATGATTTATGGCATTGTAACGGTGTGACATTGCTGTAAAGTTCATTCTACTTGTAGCCGTGGCGCTGCTGTTTCCACAGAGGTGTAAGCCCTTAAAATACAACGTAAACTGAGCCCACAATGAGTAAAAATGTGTTGACATGTTGCTTCTGTCTTTGACTCAGTCCCTCAGAAGTCTCTGGGCGAGGAGGTGAATGAACTGACCTCCAGCCGCCTGCTGAAGCTGGAAAAAGACAACCAGACCCTGCTGAAGACGGTGGAGGAGCTCAGAGGAGCAGCGTCTCAGGACACCGTGGGGAAACTGTCCAAAATCAACCAAGAAAACCAGAAACTATCCCAGAAAGTAAGCAACAGGCTGTCTGTTTTTCTGTTTGGGTAGGAACTAGCTGGCAGGTTGAAAGAATTTCCTGTTTTTTCTTCAGGTGAAATGTTTGTTTAATGACTCAGTGGTAAAAAATACACACATGTGGGCATGAATTTTGCTATTCAAAGGTCAAATACGTGCTTCACCTCTTGTCTATGTACAGACAAAACATAGATTAGTAATCAAGAAAATTGCATTATTGGCTTCAGATTGCCTGTAAAGTAAGTTTTGCATCATGTGAAATACTTTTAAGAAATAAGAAACTATATGGATGGATGTACCTGCCTACAGTAACCAAAATAAGGTTTAATTTCTGTGACTGAAATAAAGTGAGGTGTACTATAGATGCACTAGATCCACAGCGCTGCATTCATTTTACTTCTAATTTTCTGTCTCCCCATCAGCATTAGCATATTGCACCAGCCCTCCTCCATCATAAATCAGCCCAATACTTGGCTGTAGACCTTTTTTCACAGCGGCGACAATGAGAAATAAAAAAAGAGGGAACGAAGGAGAGAGCATACAGAGGGGTGGAAAGGAGGATGAAAGCAAAGCTGTAAATCCAGGCCGCCCCGCATTGCCTTTTCTTTCCCAGTCTTTGACACTCGAACGCCCCTCGCTAAGAGAAGTCTCTCAGCTATTTTCAGAAACATAAGCCTCTCTCTGTGCCCTCGGAATAAAAAGCATGAAATTGTGTTCGGCTCTCACAAAAGAGAAAAATCCAGAGTGAGAAATTTATTTCTGAGCGACTCGAGGTCCCAGAGCCAAAACACTATAAATTGTGAATGCAGCTGCTGGGAGACTCACAGAAGTCGTCTAATTTAATGTGCGTCGTCTGTTTGTGCGAACTTCAGCTCGTACGTGTTTGTCTGCAGGCCTGTGACAGAATGAGGTGATGTTTCACGTGTTTGTAGCTCGCTCTGATTCATTCACTGCACAGGTGATGCTGCAGGATCATCGCGATACCTGCAACTGAAGCCATCGACAGTTTTGAAAGATCGAAACACGATCAGCAGTTTGAACTTTATTCTTTTTCGCAGTTGGAGCAGCTGGAGACTGAACTGACGGCAGACAGAGACTCGCTTCGCAGCGCCGAGTCGCTCAGCACCGACCTGATGAAGGAGAAGGCTTTACTGGAGAAAACCCTGGAAACACTCAGAGAAAACTCAGAGAGACAGGTTGGTTTTCATAACCGGGACATGCTCTGGAGTTCCCCATCAGTAGAAAATGGGACATGTTTAGGTGCATTAACCCTATATAATTACTGTCTTTGCTTTTAAGCTGTTACCTTGGTCATTGTGAAGGGTAGCCAGATGTGCTGTATCTTGTTTTATTTCTAAAACATTCAAGGGGATGGATGGATGGATGGATGGATGACCTATATGGTGGTTTTTATTTTTGCCATGTTTGAGAGGACAAGATTGCTGCTCAAAGAACTTCCTCCTCCTCTGAAAACAGTCCTGAGAGCGGCTCAAGAGGAGCTGGTTACCTTAAACCGACCCATTATTCCTGCAATGAAAATTGGCCTGATGTATTTGAGATCGAACAGCAGATATACCGTAATTTTTGGACTATTGAGCGCAGCTGAATATATGCCGCACTCGCTAACTTTAAAAAGAAAATCAAAATTGTACATATATAGGCCATGCTTGTCTATAAGCGGCAGGTTGTAACATGAGGTATTTACACACAAAGATTTTTTTAAACTTTTAATTAAATACATACCGACATCATACACAAATACGTAAATGCTTTTTTCCAAACAGTGCCTGCAACACGGCTGATTACATTTTTTTTTTAAAAAGCAGCAGCCTTCCAGGAAAAGTCATTGATCGCTATCTTCATCTTCCTCCTGCGCACTAAAACCACTAAAGGTTGTCTTCTTCAGTGTCGGAACTGAACAGCCTCAGACTTACTTCGTCACACACTTCCTCAGTCTCTCTTTCGTTCAATGTCACTTTGGTCTCGAGGGATAAAACTCCATAAATTAGCCGCATCATTGTGCAAAGCGTGTGAAAACAGTCGCGGCTTGTAGTCTGGAAATTACGATGATATTTTACAGTGACTGACTCTTTCTGAAAAAGAATCGCTTCAAGCATTCGTATACTTTAAATAACAGTTCATGTTGCAGCCTGTATACAGGACGTACATGTGGTCACATCTTCAGACAAACAGGGCTTTGACAGAGACACGACTCTCCTTACAGAACCGTCATTGACTCTCATTCCAGAGAGCTCCCGACTAAGCTGCGTAATTTACTAAAGTCTTCCTGAGAGCAATCTTTGTGCAATTGATTTGGCTGGAAATGCTATTCAGAGAAGCTACTGCTAATATTTCATTGACCGCACAGATTCCCGGCTCTCCGTGGCCCAGATCCAGTCGCTGGCTGTGTGTCTGCAGGGACTTATAGCTGTTAGACCCAAATCTGACACCTTTGATTAGTTTAACCGTCTGATTTGTAAAATCCGCCCTTGATGAGCCACAGAGGCAGCTAAAACACAACCCAGCGCAGTCACAGATTACTGCGGGCAACCCTGTCTGCTTGGTTGTAAACATAATGAGCTGTAGCTAATGTGATGCAGTGCTTCTCCAAAATACAAAATGTTCAAATGAAGTGCAGTTTTGCAAAGTTCCTACAAGCTTTTCGGGGTTTTCACATGTCATTAGTTTTCTCCCTTGATGAATTTTTATGAGCCTGCTGGAGAAATTAGACTAAACAAGACTAAATGAAAATCTCTTTTTACAGCATTGACTCACACAACCAATCAACTGGACTGCTTACAGAAATCCCACAAAAGCAAATCGCTTACTTAAACATGGAATCGCTCAGTTTTGTTAAAACTCTGATGTCTGTTTTCCAGCTGAAGGGTCTGGAGCAAGAGAACAAGCACCTGAGTCAGACGGTTTCGTCCCTGCGTCAGCGCTGCCAGGTCGGTGCCGAGGCCCGGGTCAAGGATGTGGAGAAAGAAAACCGCATCCTCCACGAGTCCATCTGCGAGACGACGGGCAAACTTAACAAGATGGAGTTTGAGAGGAAACAGCTGCGTGAGTGACACCGTGTTTCAGCTTTTGTGGTTCGTTGCACTAACTGTGGGTGTGTGGTGTTTCCCATCCGTCTGACTGATTTGTGTTTTTAATGCAGGCAAGGAGCTCGAAGTGATGAAGGAGAAAGGCGAGAGAGCCGAGGAGTTGGAGATTCTGATGCAGAAGCTGGAGAGGGACAACGAGAGCCTGCAGAAGAAAGTTGCCAGCCTTGGGATCACCTGTGAAAAGGTCTGGTGCATGTTTTGTTCCTACCTGAGGTGTCAGTTTGTTTGTTCGGCATGTCATAGGTTCATTGTTGATTCATTGAAAATGTGTCACGGGAAGTGCAGAAGAGGAAGAACATGCATGTCAGGAAATATATTGTAGATGTAGCACCTGGTTGTGCCACCAGGTAGAGCCTCTAGATTCAAGATTCAGGACTGTTTGAGTCTCATTTCATGTGTACTTGCATACATAAAAGTGAGAATGTGTTCTCCCAGTCCAGTACAGTGCAAATAAAAATAATTAACAACAAACATACAACTAAGAAATAAAGGTTAAAACACTGTAATGACTTGAGGAAGGTGTCACATGGACTATCAGAGGTTCTGTGTTGAGTTTAGCTGATAAAAGGCCACCATGAGAAAGCCTCCTGTGATGCTTAATGCTTACCAGCCAGAGCTTTGTGTTGTGAGTGAGCTACAGTGGACCATAGCAGTAACCCTGTGGACTAGTGACGGATTGTCCTTTCCAGGTTCTGTGTCAGATTCAGTCAGGACATGTTAAAATGTTCAGTGAGTCAAATAATTGATCATTAATTGATAAAGCTGCCAACTATCAGTTCAGGAAATTGTTTAAAATTTGCGACCCTGTCTGTGTTCTGGTGGTCCATCAGTGTCAATTTCTGAACATTGTTGAATTATTAAGCCCTTTCTGATTTCTGTAATTGTGGAATATTTGCTTTTCAAATCATTTGAGTGATCCTTAAAATGATTTTGTGATGAAAAATGCTGACGTTGTCCAGCATGAACACTTCACCTCTCGCCTTCATTCACTCCTCGTGTGTTTGTAGGTGTCGTCTTTGGAAAAGGAGAACACCGAGCTGGAGGCTGAGGGCCGCCGTCTGAAGAAGAAACTGGACGCCCTGAAGAACATGGCCTTTCAGCTGGAGGCTCTGGAGAAGGAGAACTCCCAGCTGGAGCACGAGAACCTGGAGCTCCGGCGCTCGGCTGAGAACCTCCGGTTGGCGGGGGCGAAGGCCGCCCAGCTGGATGCCGAGAACAGGGAGCTGGAGAGCGAGAGGAGCCAGCTGAAGCGCAGCCTGGAGCTGCTCAAAGCCTCGTCTAAGAAGACTGAGAGATTAGAGGTAATACCAGTCGTGCATCTGTGACTGGAGCGCAGTGGGACGCAGCTAACATACAGCCATGTGTCGCTGAGAAATAAAAGTTGATTTATGTTAGTTTTTGGATTTGACAGCACCTCAGACTGCTTGTCTTTGTACAAGCTTGTGCAGAACTGCTATAGTGTTAAATTCACGTTAAATTTATTGTCTGAGTATCTGACTGGTGAGTTACAGGGGATCTGGTATATAATGCCATCAGGGAGCATCACAATTAGTTCACGCACAGTTTTAATTTCCTCATCCGCCTCTTCCTCTCCCAGGTGAGCTACCAGGGCCTAGATACAGAGAACCAGCGTCTGCAGAAGGCGTTAGAGAACAGCAGCAAGAAGATCCAGCAGCTGGAGGCCGAGCTGCAGGAGGTGGAGACGGAGAATCAGACCCTCCAACGGAACCTGGAGGAGCTCAAGATCTCCAGTAAACGCCTGGAGCAGCTGGAGCAGGAGGTAGGCGGAAGAGCTAGAAAGATGCAAACTGTGTTGAAGTTTGGGAATTAGACACATTTTTGGACTGCCCTCTTCTCTGGTGTTTCACTGACACAGCTTCTGGTACTTTTTTTGGAATGGACTGATTTTGCCTGGCAGAATGGGGCCAGTCGAACTGACCCAAAAATCCTGGTTGAGGCAGACTGAAGGCAGTGTTTGTGATGTTAAATGAATCAAATGTTAAAATGTGTAATCTGGCAGCACCGTCATTCGACTTCATGTGGGTTCATTCTGATAAAATTACAGCGTGTTTCCCAGCAGAGTTGGATTATCCCAGATTACTTGTCAAATAGATTTTTGTCCCTTTCGAGTTAATCTTTGCCCACTTTTAGCCAAACATCTATTTACACTGAGAAGTAAAAGTAATCCCATCAAATGATGTTTTGTCCGTCACGCCCCCTTTCTACCCCAGAACAAGACTCTGGAGCAGGAAAGCTCCCAGCTGGAGAAAGACAAGAAGCTTCTGGAGAAGGAGAACAAGCGTCTGAGGCAGCAGGCCGAGATCCGTGACTCCAAGCTGGACGACAGCAACCAGCGGATCTCCAGCTTGGAGAAAGAGAACCGCACCATGGGCAAGGAGATGATCTTCTTCAGGGACTCCTGCACCAGAGTCAAAGACCTGGAGAGAGAGAACAAGGAGCTGGTCAAGCAGTCCAGCATCGATAAGAAGACGCTGATTACACTCAGAGAGGTAGGCGGGGCTGTTTATCTGTCAGACATCTGCGAATGATATTACTCAGCATCTTGAGCATCATTTTTATAATGCTTTGGTAGTAATGGAAGCATGAATAGATGATTTGAAAGAAGCGCAGTGCTAAAGTAAGCTTATTTAAATGATCTTATTCTGAAACTACTTATGCAAATTGAATTATATATATTTAAGGATGTTCCAGTCACATTTTCTTGCCCCTGATCTGATGACAATAATTTATCTGCTGATACTATTTTCCTAGAAAGTACAGCTGCACATTTTAAGAATATTAAAGTTATTTAAATCAATCCAATGTGTATGTTTGGCCACTGAATAGCTCCGCTAAGCATCCAAGCTGTTCCTTTATTTTGCTAATTAAGAAAGTAAACAAGGTTGTCATAATTCCACCCAGTGCAGTATTAGTTTTTTTGTTTAGTTTTTTTTAAAAAATAAAATAACCAAGAAAATTAGCTAAAACGTGTCCCCATATATAGTTTTTTTTACATTTCACTAAGTGCTGCAGTTTATTTTAACGCAATAACTGAGGAAACAAACTAAAATGTCTTCATATTTGGTTCTTTTTACATTTTCACTTGGTGCAGCATTTTTTAAAACAACATCATGAAGTAAACAAACTAAAATATGTCTTCAAAAATAGGTCTCATCGCAATTCTATTTAGTGCTGCATTAAAGCAATACAACACACAAAGTACATAATGCAATCACAATTCAACTTCAAAGTGACTTTAACATTCATAGTCAAAACAACAACAAAAAATAGTTTTGCTTAGTGCAGCAGTGTAGTAAAAGTAGTGTATTAAAGTAATAAAGCCAGCAGCGGTTCCATCTGATAAAAGAGATCAGAAACATGCAAATGAAAGCGAATTATGGCACTTTTGGTTTTCCATACAGAAGCCCCAAAAGCCAAAAACCTCAATAAAGACGATGCTAATCAATAAAACGTTGCTTTGATTGGCTCTGATCATTGACATCAGATTGGAATATCCCTGTTGGTATTAAAATCTTTTCCATCAATGTCTGTGATGGTGCTTAGATCAAACATTTCCCACTGGATTGTTGGTTATTTTTAATAAATTGTGCATTTGTTGTGAGTGACATTCATAGTAACTCAGTGTGTAACCGTGTGTGTGTGTGTTTAGGAGCTCGTTAGTGAGAAGCTGCGGACTCAGCAGATGAACAATGATCTGGAGAAACTGACCCACGAGTTGGAGAAGATCGGACTGAACAAAGAGCGACTCCTGCATGACGAGAGCTCGGACGACAGGTATCACGTTACGAACGCTCAAACAGCTGCAATACTGGCTTTGAAAACAATCTCGGCCTGAAACGCAAATAAGAACGAGTCGTGTGTTTATGTGGTGTTGGAATTCTCTGAATAGTCCGAAGAATGACTTCACGACCGGAAAAATTCCACAAGTTTAAGTAACTCAAGGAAAATTTGTTATCAAGTTGTTAGGCGTAGGTAAAAGCTGGTAAAAACGTTTGATTGATGGTGCAAATTCATGCATTTGATATACATTTTTGGCCAATATTTAAATTGTAATGGTGTTAAGTTATAACCCAGAGTTGCTCCATGCACTAATTATCAGAGCCAGAAGCTGTAACAATAGAAAGAATCAATGAATTTTCAAATTTACAGCTGTTCTGTTGGAAAACTTAACCAAACCTAAGCTTAAAATTGCAATATTTCATCAAAACCAGTTTATTCTGTATGTCTTGTTTAAAAAATTGCCAAAAATAATCAATTTTCTCAGACCACACTCTGTAAAAACTGCAGTTTTTGCACTTCTTGATACAACCGTAAAGCCATTAGTGACTCAGCTACAATTAAATCACTTGTTCAGGGACTTTTTATGGAGTTATAACTGTGTCACGCTGCACAGAAGACATTTTTGAGGTCTTTCGTCTTCTGGTCATGGTTCCATAGAGCTGCAGGACTTTAGATTGCAGTAAAAAATGAGCCCACAGTGAGTAATAATGTCACGGGAGGCACAAGACACCCAGAAATGCTCTAAGCAATGAAGTACAACAAATCTTCTTTGTTGCATCTGCTTTGTTTCCACATTCCACCTTTTAAAGCAAAACAAAGTTGTAAAAACCAACTCTGGAAATGAGATCATCCGCGGAGCACGTGGATGCGCTATTAGTCTGTCATCCTGGGATCATTAAAAGTGATTAGCACAATTGGGACTCGACGTAAATCAGGTCTGTGGCCTATTTTAGATCAGGTGATGTGGTTTTAATTAATCAGAGTCTTGCAACATCACCCTGTGGGAGATTTGTGAGTCAGTGTCTTCCCACCTGCTGCGCTGCATCCAAGAAGTCGTCTGTGCTGTACTGTGGATATGAAAATGTATTTCTACACACAGCTAACTGGACCTTCATCCTCAGGTTTAAGCTGCTGGAAACCAAACTGGAGTCGACTCTGAAATCATCGTTGGAGATTAAGGAGGAGAAGATCGCGGCTCTGGAGGCCAGACTGCAGGAATCCTCCAACCTCAACCAGCAGCTTCGCCAGGAGCTGAAGACGGTCAGTAACACAGCATACGGAAATCCAAACAATTACTCAGAAAAAATATGCAGATTTTGGATTTATTGCAGCATAAAAACATCCTCCGCACGGTGACCTCCCAAAAAGCCAGAACACCGACCTGCCAGCTCGTCCACTTGAGAACAACATGTCCTAAAATCTCTCCCCTGCAGTCAAAAACACTAGAAACGGTGAAAACATCGAGGGCTTCTCAAGGCCGATACATAATTTATTCATCCGCTCTTCCACTTCTATCTGCAGTTTATCTATTCATGAGGCGGCAGGAGTCTGTCAAAGAGGTGGAGTGGAATGGAGGATGTCTGCTTCCCTTCGGGGAGTTGGTTGTGTTTGTGAACTTGCTGACACACATCCAACCCAAAGCTTTAAGTGTAGAGTGGAAAAACCTGAGGCATGAACTCTCGGATATAATGGCCTGCTATTATTTTCATTTGTGTTTTTCCAGTCAGACCTGGAGCGGTTCTTCACTGTCAGCTGCCTTCGATTTCCATGTTTATATTGGAGTTGATTTCATGCGAGGACGGAGCAGCAAATGCACTTATTTCAGTGTGTTGACTTGTTTTTTTTTTTCCTCTCGCCAGGTGAAGAAAAACTACGAGGCGCTACGTCAGAGAGAGGAGGAGGAGAGGATGGTGCAGAGCTCCCCACCTCGAGGAGGGGAGGACCCCCAGGCTGTCAGCAAATGGGAGAAGGAGAGTCATGAAGCAACACGGGAGCTGCTGAAAGTCAAAGACAGGCTCATCGAGGTGGAGAGGAACGTAAGTTAGCAGACGACACACGTGACTTTCTGGTGTGAATTCTGAGCACGTGCGTCTTGGTCGAGCCTGATCTTCTATCATTTGCGTGTGCTTTTCCCAGAATGCCACGCTGCAGGCTGAGAAGGTGGCCCTGAGGAGCCAGCTCAAACAACTGGAGACTCAAAGCTCCAACCTGCAGGCTCAGATAGTGGCCCTGCAGAGACAGACCGCCTCCTTACAGGAGAACAACACGACGCTGCAGACGCAGAACGCCAAGCTGCAGGTAATCCTCAACACAGCGCAGTGTCCGGTGAACAATGGAGGGTCTGACAGAGGAATGCATTACAGGTTCAGTGATTAGGCAGGTAATCAGTACAGGAATTACAGAATTACACCATTCATCAGAGACAGAAATTGTACAAAAGCGAAAGAATTGTTGGATTATAAACTTCACAAAGATCTTTCAACTGATCTGGCGTGATTAAAAGTGACAGAAAATTCAAACAAATTTAAGCTTTTAGTTGGGATAGATCATCAGAATGACTATATGCATGCACGTTTAAAAATTCACCAGGACTTAATAGTTTGCTCAGTAAAAAGCAAATAAATTCTGCACCTTACGGTGTAACAAAGAAGCCATTAATGACTCAGCAGTGACCAACAGACACATGACAGAAATTCAGAGAGTTTTCGACTGAACTACAGAATGACTATATTCTACACGCTTGTTTAAAAACTCACCAGGACTTAATCGTCTGCTCTGTAAAAAGCAAATAAATTCTGCACTTCTCGGTGTAACAAAGAAGCCATTAATGACTCAGCAGTGACCAGCAGACACATGACAGAAATTCAGAGAGTTTTCGACTGAACTGCAGGCGGCCTTACGCAGAGCAGACAGGAGTATGGAAAGAAATTAAATGAACTGAACCTTAGTTTTTTCTTTCTTTTGTAATGTATGGCAATATACCTACCTACTTTAGTGGGCTAAAATTGTATCATTTATTTTGATTTAAAGGTTAAAGACTGAACTTGATGAAAACTTCTCGGTCTATTTAGTCGCTGTTTGGCAGCTTTCTATCACATCCCATGATCCCATCAGCTGACAGAACTGCAGTTAAGATGTTTTTGTGTGTGTTTATTTTTCCACTTAAGAACTAAATAAGCTTTAGTCTGAGATGATTTTCAGTAACCAAAAAAAAAAGGCAGGGGGAAGAAATCCAACTATTCATATAGTCTAAAATCACAAAACACAGTTTGCCTCAAGTGGTTTTACAATCCGTATCGCTTATGTCACCCTCTGATTCACATCCTTTTCCCAGACACATGCACTGTATAACTATGTTGAATATTTTAATAAAGATATCATTATCATATTGCCTAATAAAATAGATAATAGCAAGGACACGATGCCGTCTCTATTTATTACAACACTACATACGTGATCCTTCATTTTCCTTCAGTGCTATCCAACTCTTTACGTTGCCCCGTTGGTACATTCGCCCTGCCAGGCTGCTTGGCTCCCTGCTTTGGATTTAGACTTGTCCTCCCTATTTGGCAGCAGTTCAAACCCTTCTTACGAGCGGCAGGATTTACGCCGGCCAGACAGAAGCTTCTGGCTGTTTCTGAGAGTGTTTTGTGCGTCGCTTGATGTGTGACGTGGGCTGGGTGTGGGTCAGGGCAGGTGTGCTGAAGGTGAGGAACAAAACAACTCTTCAAAGGTACAGAAAGAGTGTCGGCACCTGGACACAATGTGTGTGTGGGTGAATGAACACCACCAGTCATGACTGTGGGGAGATTTGAGACGAGGGAACCGCTGTAACCATAAAGGAAACATGAAAAGAAACGGCTCTCCTGCTGGTGTTTGTTTGATGGAGCTTACAGGGGATCACACTGAACAGCTACACAGCGCCCCCTATAGAACACATCAGGAACAGCCTCCTCACCTCTGTATCTGATGCATCCATTTCTGCCTTTGTCCTCGTCTGCAGGTGGAGAACTCCACCCTGAGCTCGCAGAGCGCCTCCCTCATGGCCCAGAACGCCCAGCTGCAGAGCCAGCAGAGCAGCGTGGAGGGAGAGCGCGAAGGAGCGCTGAAGGAGAAGGAGGAGCTGAGAGCCACGTACGAGCTGCTGCTGCGCGATCACGAGAAGCTGGCGGCGCTCCACGAGAGGCAGGCGGTCGAGTACGAGGCGCTGATCGGGAAGCACGGCGGCCTGAAGACCTCCCACAAGAGCCTGGAGCAGCAGCACAGGGACCTGGAGGACAAGTGAGACATAGTTCAGCAGCGAGTCTAATTACAGATTAAGTCACACTCATGACTCATTTTATGCTGTAATTTGAGCGTCTTTTGTACATTGTTCCTGATTAAAAAAAAATCTAAAACCAGCCATGCTGAGTAATGCTGGGCTCAGACTTACAGGAGTTTTAGGCAGATTTAAACCCTGTTTCACCCGACAATCGGAGGAGTAATCTGGTCTGGGATCTTGGTCTGAACCGATGTTTGGCTCAGATTACTGGGTCTTAAAACTCCCCAACTGCTTGTAGACTCACTGGGTTCACAATCTGAATGATTATTATGCTAGTAACCCAAACAAAGAACCGCTGACCATGTCTCCCCAACCGTTTTCAGCCTTTTTTTGTTTTTGTCTCACTAAAAAGTATCCACGAATGCAAAAATGTGAGATTAAATTACACACAATATGATGGTGACACAAATAACAACATTATTCTGATATAAACCAAACTCCTACATTTCCCATAATGCAGCATCATTCAGGTGAAATCTGAACATGGGGTTATTCTATTAGTATTTTGTAGGCTTCAAGCTGACATATTTTCTCAGGCTTTAGACCTCTAGAGAGCAGTCTGCTTCCTCATGAGGTCACAGAAAGTGGTGCACTCTTTTAAATCTAAATAATGCCCAGTAGCGAGTGCTGCACTAACATTTTCAAATCTTGTAGTTTTCCATTCCTCTAGTTAGGCTGTCATTCTAGCATAACGAGAGGAAACTGTAGACCGCTCATCTCTCTGTTGGACTCATGCAGCAGGTTATAATGTGTGTGTTTCTGTGTGCAGATACAAGCAGCTCCTGCAGAGGAAGGGTGAGCTGGAGGAGCTGGAGAAAAACCTGAAGGAGCAGCAGGAAAAGATGGCGCTGGAGAACCAAACCCACCAGGCCACAGCTGACCAGTGCAAACAGCTCAAAGAGGAAAATGATCGGTCAGATCAACCAGAGCTTTCATCTTAAACGCTCATACGTGTTAATAGCATGTTATTGAAGTCGCTGAACTGCCTGCGTGTGTCTCCTCAGGCTGAACAACACCTACCGCCAGCTGGTGAAGGACAACGAAAGTCTCCAGGTGGACCACAAGAACATAAAGACCCAGCTGAACAGCGCCAAACTGGACCAGACCAAGCTGGAGGCCGAGTTCTCTAAACTGAAGGAGCAGTACCAGCAGCTGGACATCGCCTCCACCAAGCTCACCAACCAGTGTGAGGTGAGGACGACCCCCCTTCTCTTCTTCTTCTTTACATCTGGGGGTTTCCCATAATGCACAACCTGTAAAGCCGACCGTCTTAAAGCTGATCCTCCTCTTTCTAATGTCGCATGTTTGCAGCCGGCTTCTTAAACCAGCTGTGTTTTTGGCAGCTTCATCCCTTTTAATTGATCATATGTGTTGTTGAGCCATGTGTCTGGGCGCCTCTTTGATATTTCTGTGTGTGTTAGCTGTTGAGCCAGCTGAAGGGAAACTTGGAGGAGGAGAATCGTCACCTGCTGGACCAAATCCAGACTCTGATGCTGCAGAACCGCACGTTGCTGGAGCAGACCATGGAGAGCAAGGACCTGTTCCACGTAGAGCAACGACAATACATGTAAACCCCTGATGAGACACGTTTTCTGCAAACATGTTGTCCAAATCTGCCAACCAGATTTTATCAGTTTAGCTGCATTTACATGTAGATTGGATGCATTTTAGTTTGTTTTACTGGATCGTGTCTCCTTTGTCCAACCTTCAGAGACAAGCTGAATGAGCTGAGGAGACAGAAGGAGAAGCTGGAAGAGAAGATCATGGACCAGTACAAGTTCTACGACCCGTCACCTCCACGCAGGTAAGAAGCAGCTTCATCTAGTGACTCGAGTTCAAAAAAACTTGGAAATAAAAGACGGATTAGACTTGGCAAGTTTGTTTGCTCGGAAATGGAAGAAAACACTGCAGCCTTCAGGAGCGGACGCATCAAATATTTATGGTCTGGAGAGCGTTAAACATCTGTATACTGCAATGTTTTTCACCTCGAGGATCATCAGAAGGATTTAGAGGTTGAAACAAAGCCTCAAAGACACGGAGCAAGTCAGACAGTTAAAATACATCTTTTTCGTGTCAGTTCCTATTGATTTTATGTCTTGTTTTCTTTTGTCTTGATGGTCTCCTGATCTCCCTCTCTCTCTCCCTGCCTCGTCTTTCCTTTATAGGCGTGGCAACTGGATCACTCTGAAGATGAGGAAGCTGATCAAGCCCAAAAGCCGGGAGAGGATGCGTTCGCTCACGCTGACTCCGTCTCGTTCGGAGTTGGGCGACGGCTTCCTGGCGTTTCCTCCTGACAGCCAGGACAGCTCGTCCATCGGCTCCGGCTCCAACTCGCTGGACGACACGCTCTCACACAAGAGGAGCAGCAGTGAGTATAAAGTCAACACATGTACACTGTGAATCAGCATAGATGACTGAAGGACAATGTACAGAGGAAGAAGATGTGATAGATTGTACATGCAAATTAATGACACCTTTGTACCCAGAAAGTGAAAAACAGACTGCTGCTGTGTGACTGTGTGTGTGTGGGTTTGTATGCCAGAACGGGTTTTTACTTTTCCCCCTAACTGCTCCTTTGCTTCTTTATCTCTCTCTGCAAAGGGAGGAGAGGGCAGCAGTCTCATGCCCAAGTGCAGGGCTCCTCCAATGGTATGCCGCGGACGGGGAGGGTGGGCGGGGCTTATGACCCGACTGTCACGTCTCTCAGGGCATGTTTTCGTGAGTCCATTGTCGTGTCACTCAGCTGGCGTAGAGGTTACGGTTGAGCTGCACAGCACCACAAGGTTGACTCTCAACCTCCGACCTGGTTGGAAGAGATTCCTGTATTTGAAATAACACGAGGTGCACTTGAGCTCTGTCGTCTTATTTATTGGCTGTGGTTATAAAAAATGCCTCTACTATGAGAAAATTAAATTTACTCCCAAGAACGATATACATTTTCATGTAATTAGCCACATTTTAAAGGAAAACTCCATCAGTTATACACATGAAAGTTTTTTGCTCCTGTCATATTTTAACTCACTGTGGGCACATTTTCAATTGCGATAGAAAGTTCTTCTCTGTAGAAATAGTAAAATCAAGTAGAAAGAGCTCAAAAATATATTTTGTGTGGTATTAAAAAATTAGAATGCAAGAAATCAAAAAAAGGGAAAAACAAAAGTTACATTTCTTTGATTATTTATTTACAAAAATCTAAAAAAAAAAAAAAAAAAGTTCAACATTTTTTGCCCACAGGTGGCCAATAGATATTTTACTACTTACATTTGAATTTATCTTCATTCTTCTCTCCTCCCTATTCGGTGTAAACACTGCCTGTAGTTCAACCGAATAGTCCCTGTATTTTTGTCATGACTGTTGGAGTATTTTGGGCCTTTTAAATTGCATTGAGTAGACGGTTTGTTTGTTTTTTAAATAGGATGTTTTACAAAATTTTAAGTGAGACATAAATAAAGTGATTTTGATGAAATATTACAAAACTAAGCCCAGATTTGATTGTTTTCTCAATGGAACTAATTAGTTCTCTGACCTTATAAAGTTGAAAATCCAACAGTTCTCTCTGTTTTCTATGGTTTGTACCTGATAAATTGTGCCATTTAAGCAATTGTTTAAAAGACTACCTGTGTTTTGGAGGATTCAGAGGGTTTATGGTCATTGAATGTCAGCCTAAATCAAGTGCATCTCGTGTGGTTCAAACACTGGACAAAACTTTGTTTAAATTTTGTCCCAGGTCTGTTTCATTAACTTCCTCCTTCAACTTGTTTAAGCTCATCAGTTCTCCAACAGGTTAACCTCCTGATCTGTGCAGTTCACCTGTAAATAAGAACGAGACGTCCTCTAACGTAGCATCACAGCTATTAAAAGGTGCAATGCAATGTTGCCTCTGTCCATGTTGGTCCTATTCAGGTACATTAGCAGGATGGGCTTGGATAATAAGCATCTTCAAGCTGAAACATGCATCAGTTTTGTGAGAAATCCAGATGCTATTCAGTTTAAGATATCACTATATTTTTTATTTAGCACTCAGACATACAGTATAAAATTGTTTTATATTCCATTCAACACTATAAAAGACTATAAACTACCAAGAACAACAGCTGTACCAAAGACATTACACAGTCAAGTATGCAGCAAAGCACTTTGCAGCTTCTTCTTCTTCTTCTTTGTGTTTCTTGAAAATGTTTGTGATGGAAAGACTGTAATCATCCGTGATGCTGTTGAACTTCCCCTTTTCACTCTCCTGATTGCACCCTTTAATACTCCTCCGTGTCTCATCTCAGTGTGGTAACGTGTCGACAGTCGTGTTGTTGTTGTTGTTGTTGTGTACAGTGTGTAATGCTTTGAAACCAGTTTTTAATGTAGTGTTCAGGACCATTACCATGAGAGTGACTGTGTGCTGATAGAACGAGTGTGTGTGTGTGTTTGTATAATGGGTTTCTGTTTTTGTATTTGTTGAAATAATGTGTTTTTGTACAGAAAAGTCTGCCCTCAAAAAGTATTATTCGGGTTTTAAAAAGTCAGTGGTCAAGTGTTTCATTTAAAAAAATGATCGTATATTAACAGAAACCAGTGGTGCTGAATACAAATGGGCAAATTAAAGAGATATCTGTGCACATTTTTCAGCTCCATTAACTTTGTAGTGTTTTTTTGAGCAAGAAGGGAGTGTATTTGCTCAGATTGGATCCTTACAGTAATATGATCCACCTGTTTATATTCTAGTGTCTATTGCATTTGTTGTCTTTTGTCCAGCTCTCTCTCTCTCTCTCTCTGCATCTCTTCCCTCGTTTGTGACAACGTTAACCACATCCCTCTGTTCTGCCCTCCTTTTTTTTTTTTTCCTTTGTTTTCTCTTCCTCCACGTCCCTCGGGTTCGTTTCTGTCGCTCTCTCTCTCTCTCTCTCTCCTGTCTGTCTGTCTGTCCGTCCGTCCGTCTGTCTCTGGCTGCGCTCTGACAGCTATAAAAAGGTTGCCTTTCATGAGGAACAGATCCAAGGACAAAGACAAGGCCAAGGCCATCTACCGGCGCTCCATGTGTAAGACCTCCGTTAGCCGCCACGCTAGCCTTCCTCCTCCTCCTCCTCCTCCTCGTCTGCCTCCTTCTCCCTCTCGCTGTCACGCTGGGAGAAACAAAGAAGGAGCAGTCACTGATGTCAGGGCGGTTCAGCTACAGCAGCTCCATTTGATATTTAAGACTCAGTTTGATGACACAAGAATCTAGTTTCAAATTCTGCATCTGGTGACATCAGTGACTTGTCCTTGTAATTTTTCCCCAGTCATCCCCACAGCTCCATCACATCCTGCCGCCTCCACTCTCTCCTGTAGAGTCTTTCTAAGCCTCTGTTAGCGCTCACCAGTGTAGTGTCACTTTATTTTAATATAGCCTCACTATTCCCAGATGAATGAGCATCACAAACTTCACTGACTTTGTCTAAAAAAATGATCAAAATGCTGTGAAAGTAGGGTTTTCCTGTTTCTGCAGCAGCTGTGTCTCTTGTAGTGTGATGCCGTTTGATTTCCATCTCCAGACCAAAGCTTATCTTTCCATTCGGTCACAACATGAATCGCTATCCAAATGGGCGACTTATCGGGCAGCCTTGTCGCGTGCTCTGTGGTTTCATTTTGTTTGTGAATGAAAGGCTCGGTGCGCGTGTGTTTGTGTGTGAGTTCAGGTGTGAGGCTGCTGGTTCGCCTTTCATGCGCCTGTATTGTGTTTGCACCCGTCTCTGATTGCAGCATGTCATAAAAAATCATCAACCGCCTGATCGACGCTCGCACTCACCATGGAGGACTTGAAATGGAGCCTTTATTCTCTCTCTCTGACTCTGTCTCTCTCTCTCTCTTCCGCTGTCGGAGTGCTGCATTTCAGATCTTATTCTGCTGACATGGAGTTATCGCTGCTGCTGCTGCTGCTCAGAGCAGCTCTGCATGCCGTCATGCTTCTCGACCGCCGCACACGACTCAAAGTGCATAAAGACAGCCGGCGACGTCCAAAAGTGTCTGGCTGAGACGGGCCAGGATGACCAGCTGTCATCTTTATGCACTTTAATGTGTTTTATTTATAATACTGAATGCCTGCATGTGCCTTGAGATCCAGAAGGACTGAATTAGTTGTGTGCTACAGGATGGATTTGTTAGTGAGGCCATGTCCACGGGTCATTTTCAGCTTTTTTCTATGCATTTTGGCTTTTTGTCCACATGCAAACACAGTTTTAAGTCACTGAAAATCCCTACGAAGACATTCTCAAACTCTCCAGAACACATAAAGGGGGGCTGCTTCATTCACAGCCTTCTGTTGTGCAAACAGAACAACATTTCAACACCACTGTGTCAGAGGGAAAGTCAACAAAGATGTGAGGCAAACGCATATATTCAACTTAAACCCAGTGTGTGGTTCTCATTGGATAATTGGTTGAATGGGATGTCAAATCTATTGGATATTTATAGCTGTGCTTTTGTTTGTTTGGCCTTGCAAAAGTTTATTTTTTTCATCCTTGACATGAGGAATTGCTGGATTTGTCATATTTCCTCTGGTTCATCACCTCTGGCAAATGTTTGTTAGATGTTGTTTGCATCTTTATCCAACCCAATTCCAATTTCAGCCAATTACGTACCAGTCACCATGCAAAGAACACAGCAAAATAGACCTCTCTTAAAGTTACAGAGATAAAGGTACACTTAGATTCTGATGAAGACACAGTAGTGTTGAAAAGGTAAACCGGTTGGAAAAGAAAAACCCGGGAAACAAACCCCAACCCCCCCGCTTTAACCCCCAAAAAGGAATTCGACCTGAACCGAAGAACAACAAAATCAACCGCAATTTGCCGGAAAAAGCAAAAAAAAACCCGGTTCCAACAAAATCAAGGGTTGCAAGGGTGGCCGGTTAAAAGAAAAAAACTTTGTGCAATAGCAGATGTGGCCAAAATAGTGCTGGCAACCTGCTAAAAGAACTTTTTACATGTTTACACATATATGTAGAGTTTACATGTAGAGTTTCTTTTCTACTATATTGTGAAACTCAGTAAACATGATTCCTCGATGCACCGTTGTTGGAAGTCTATCACAGGCCACCATGGCTGTAGGGTTATATCAATGCTTGTTGATCCAGCATTTTCTTTATAGTGCTTTAATTGTGTTTTCATGTGGACAAACATATTCTTTTGAGAATAAAAAATGCTTTTTTTACATGTGGACGAAGCCTGAAATTACATCTAGCTGTAACTTTGATCAAGATCTCACCAAACAGGGCTATTTTCTGCCGTGTTCCTGTGCTTAGTGTGGGAGTTGAGCTTTGGTCCTCATGAGGCTGCTGTATTACAGCCTCGTGAACAAGAAGTAAAGTAGTTCTCCACGGATATATTAGCAGCTAGTTCCTCTCAGCTATTTTGTGACCCCGTAATGACTAAACAGATACGAAATGTCTTTGGCAAAAACATGCATTTCCTTAAAAGCAGTGAGCTCCAACTTCTGAGCCACAGCTCGAGGTGAAATAAGACATAACAAAATGTCTAATCTCGGTTCTTGTCCTCATTTCCGTCCCTCCATCCGCCTGTTCAGCCATGAATGACCTGCTGCAGAGCATGGCGGTGGCCGGCGGTCCCGGGGCTCAGTGGGCCGGCAGCACCGAGAATCTAGACGGAGCCGAAGCCGGAGACGCCGGCATGACGGGCAGCAGCCGACGCAGCGGGCAGCGCATGAAGGAGCTCGCCTTTTCCACCAACGCCATCGACTGTGCCGCCCTCACTCTGCCCAGTGCCGGGCACAGCAGGGCCAAACTCCGGCTGCAGGTCAAAGGTTGGGATGCTGGTTTTATTATACAGCTACTTATGTTGGTGTTTTCTGATCATATTTCCAGTTCTTATACTTTGCAGACTAGATTAATTTGAGTACCATGTGGTGAAGTTGCTGCAGCATCACTCTCTTCTGTATCTCACCAGACAATGTCTCCTGTGAGGACGTTGCCGGCTCCTCAGATGACCCCAAGAGTCACGGTAAGGTTCAAGCATAAAACTTGAGTCAAATGCAAAGAAAAGCTGTAGGTAGCTGCAGCAGCCTCTCAGCACCAGCCGGGAATCTGAAAGCCCTGCAAATGAGAACAGACCCGAAAAGGAGGTCAGGTCCCCTGCTAATCTTAAGGCTGCCCTCCTGCACTTCGATTAAACTTAATCTACTGTTGGGGAAGCAATTTTAGTGGAGAGCACAACACAGAGACAGAGATCAGCCTCCACTGAAAGTAGGATTGACTCTAATTCAGGCGTTAGGACGTTATCCAGGGCGGTTAATCTGCAGCCAGGCGACGACTCCTCACTTCTGCTCTAATGTCGATGACCCAGTTGTTAAACAGCCACCAAACTACTGACACACATTCCATCACTTAAGCTACACCTTATTGCTGTTAGCTTTAGATGTTGTACATGTGATTTTTAATTTACGAAAATGCATTGCAAAGGGTCATTAAACTGGTTCTGCAGGATGCTGGTGTAGCTGGTGTTGATTCTACCTTGTTGATGAGTTCCCAGAATTCACTCATAAAATGAAATATATTGTTGTTCCAGTAATGGCTGGATGAAGTGCACATCCAGTCTGACTCACACACATTACTCATAATGTACCAGCCATCTACTAGAGCTGTTATTTGTACCGTCATTAATGCTAGTTTGAGATATCTATTGATTATTTTTTAAAAGCAGCTTTTATGTTCTGTGTTTTAAAAAGTATTAAACTTTGCTTGTTTGTCAGTGTGAGCAGCAGTAGTGAGTCGTGTAATGTCCCTTCTCCATCTGGGTGTGTTGCATTATGTGTGTCTGTGTGTGTGTGTGTGTCTTATCAGGCCTGCAGGCGTGTAGCAGCGCTCTGGCTTTGTGTCCTTCCCCTGTTGAGCCGAGCGTTATGTGCAGAGTGCCCTGTAACATCTGTAGTAAGTGACAATTACTCAGCGGCACTGAGGATCACTGTGGGTCACAAATAACGAGCTGGTTTCCTCGACATTCTAACTGATACTGATCGGTAGTGGACAGATTCATTTAAAATTCTAATTTGGTTACCACGCATGTCCTGAAAACCAGTTGGGGATGATTTCACGGTCACTGGTTTCCAGTTGAAGCTGTGCCTGTGAATGCAGAAAAGAGCAAGGTCACCCTGCCGTCACTCCTCTCCTTTCTTTGTGCTTCTCTGTTTCACTCCAGGCTTCACATTTCTTCCGTCACTGCTAACCCACTCTGTCGTCCTCTGTTCTCGCTATCGTCTCCATCAGTTCCCCCCCTTTTCCTTAAAGTGGCTCGGTCCTTGTGTTTAGGTGCTCCTGGCCTCTCTGTCGGTAGTTTCTTTGTTTTTAGACTGGACATATTGTGGCTGCAGCCTGGCACTGAGCCACCCTTCCTGTCCCTCTGCCTGGCATGTGCCATCTGCTGCCCCAGCGGGAGACGTTCTGCTAGCGTGCAGCTAACTCCTTGTGTCGGTGCATGCCGGTTGCGGGTACATGTATGCGAATCCTAACTGTGTGTACGTGTTGTGCGTCTTCCCTCTTGTCCCTTACCCAGCCTCCAGACCCACCAGTCTCCATAGCAACAGGACCACCAGTAGCAATAGTAACAATAACTCCCACCTCACTTCTCCTCTGGAGGGCAAAGGTATGCTCCTCCTTCCTGTAACCCTCTTCCTTCACCTCTGTGTCTGTCCGCTAACTACTCTAGACTCCTCTGCTGCCTTTATCTTTTTCTTTCCTGCCTTAGCTCAGACCTGCTTTGATGTGATCTCCTGTGAAAATTTGATGAAGTTAGTTTGTCCTGATTTAAAGATGAAGGGCTTTTTTTCTCTCCTCCAAGGAAAGCAAAGCTTCATGTTCAGAATCAATGTTATTTAATCAGCAAGTGGCACCTTTTGTAGACCGTAGTATTAAAAAGAAGAATGTATAATAGGTTTTGATTTATTTACAACTCACTGGTAACTGGACTTTTATCACATTTTGCTTCTTTGTCATTTCCAAGTAAACAGTCATGGATGGACAGTGTAGCTGAGCAGATTAATGAATAAGCACAGATCTATTACCCATTTCAGAAATAAGCTTAGATCTCATGCTGCAAAGGCAAACGAGGTCCGATCAAAAAGTTGCTGCTGCCGTCCCCTTAGAGGTAGTCACGTTGTGCAGCGATACACTGCTCCCGGGGCTCCTGCTCCACGTTTGTAACATCTGCTGGAGCTACGATTCTGGAAGCGCGTCATCCTCCTCCGCTGTTTCCAAACAAAGACCTTTCAACTTGACTTTCATTTTGCAAAAGAGGGAAAAAGTTGCAGGGGCACAAATTTGGCAGGTAGAGTGGGCGGGAGGTGACAATTGTGTTTGTGTGTCAAAAAATCCGCGTTTTCATGATAGAACAGGCAGTTGCCACCGTGCCACAGCGCAGGTCGGTTGTGCTGAACGTTACAGTAGAACTCTGCTTCGACAGTCTGATCCTGAGGGAAGAAATCTAAACGCACGACTTTGTGAATGTAGAAGAAATCATGGAGCCTGCTCTTGGTGTGCTCCCTGCCTGATACACCTTTGCAGTGGAAGCACCAGCAGTCTCCAAGAACAAAGAAACACCTGATTTGATCCTTATCTGACTTTGCTCTTGGTGACTCTTCCGCTGCAGAGACTGCTGTTTGGTTCGTAACGGTTGGCACAACTCTCATCAACAATGACGATCCCGTTGACAGAGATGTGTCGGTGCTACTTCTGAAGGTCCATCTTAAAATTGGAAATATGAACCTGCAAGTGGTCCCAAAATGTGTGTAACACAGGTCCTGATGTTCATCGTGCAGCTTACTGTGGAAAATAAAGCGTTTCTGCTCGTTCCTGCTGTGCGTCTGTTCTTGCGCTACAGACTTTTTAATCGCACCTCGTCCAGTATTTGACAACTCAGCACCTTTTAAATGACCTGATTTACTGCACGTTGTCTGACAATGTGGTGAGATTTGATCAATGCTAATGCAGTTTCTAGCAGCGAATGATAACCATCAATAAATCAATTAAGGTCTTAGACTACTTTTTCTCAGCACTTAATCACTGCCTGTCCTCTAACAGGCACGTTGAACGGCAGCCTCAGCAGGCCGCACAGCGAGAGCAGCGGCGAGTTCAGCCTGAGTCTGGACCAGGAGGTGTGGTCGAGCAGCGGAAGCAGCCCCGTCCAGCAGCCCACCTCCTCCCGGTCCTCCCACCAGAGCCCCCTGCAGCTGCGCAGGTCCCTCGACCCGTCCAGCGCCGCCGGCAGCCCCGGACAGACCCAGATCAGGAAGACAGGATCCCCAGGCAGCGAGGTGCTTTCCCTTCAGCAGTTCTTGGATGAGGGTATTGACCCTGCAGAGGTAAGGCCTCTGACTCGGTTGTAAATGATGTTCATGTATGCAGCTGTTGCGATGTCGCTACTATAGATTAAAAACCTGCAGGTGAAGACTGAATTCAGTTGAATCCCTTTGATCAGTCAGTTTAGGATACATTTCAAGCTGGAACTAACTGACTAACTATTCTGCTTATTATGATTTTTCGAAGCTCAATGAGGTATTAAACATCAATCCAGCAACATTTCTGGTATAAAAGTATTGTTTGATAGTTTAACTGTCCTGTTTCTTTGTTCTGCAGTCTGGCAGTCAGGAGAACCTCACTGTAGACTCTCCTCGCCTCTCCACCTCCTCTGACCATGTGCCGAAGGAACGCACTTCCACCAAGGGTCGAGGCATATTGCGCTCATCCAGTGGGAGAGCAGCACCAGTCAGCAGTGACCGGCCACCGAGATCCTCAGGTCAACCAGGGCGCCCAACCCTCCGAAAGGCCGAAAGCACCCGCGTGAAAGGCTCCGCCCCGATCCGCTCCAGCCTGTCCTCGCAGGGCAAAGCGACGTCCGTCTCTGAGCGGCTGGACTCGGCCTCCTCCACGCTGCCCCGGGCCAGCAGCGTCATCTCCACCGCCGAGGGCACCACGAGACGCACCAGCATCCACGACATGCTGTCCAAGGACAACCGGCAACCCGTGTCCGTCGACGCTTCTCCTCCCGTCGCTTCCACCAAGGCTGGGGTTCGCTCCCAGCCGACACCCAGTGAGTACCACCCCATCAGCACCAACCTAAAGGGACCCTTTACCACCACCACCACCACCACCCCTCTGCCCAAGTCACACAGCTTACCTTGCCATAGCTTGGAGGACCCCGACCTCTCCACCCTCGAGTCTTTCCTCGGCCCTTCCTTCACAGTAGAGTCTGTGTTCATGGACTCCATCTTTAGTGAGTCGGCAGGCAAAAACCTCCCCTTCCTGTCTCTTAACCCCACCCTAGTCAGCAACATCAGTGGGCCTCCTGTCACTAATAAGACCCACCCTCCTCCCGTCCCCAACCACATTTCCACCCAAAACCCTCACAGCCAGTCAAATGGCCAGATGAGATCCAGCTCAGACAGCCTGAAAGAGTATAACGAGGGTGTTGACGCCAGTCGTGTGAATAATTCGGACCCGTCAATGAGCCCAGAGGACAACCAGTCTCTGTGGTACGAGTACGGCTGCGTGTGAATGACAGGGAGGTTTGCTGATCTCGATACTCAACTTGACTAAAAGAGGGGAGAACGAAAGGACGGATAAGGAATGAATCCTCCTCCTCTGCATGTATTTATCAGAGCTCTATCTATCTCAGTGTGGTGTTGTTCTTTTCTGTTTGCCATGGTGCTGACTGGTGATTTTATTTTCTGTTCTGTTCTGTGAGGTGGGACTTTGATGAATGTTCTTCCGTCCAGAAGCTTTTGCCGTATTATTGTTTCCTCATCAAGTCTGTTTCATTGGCTAACACTAAACTATTATCTGCTGTAGCGGGTTCATGCATCACACGCAATAGTGCTTCTGTTTTAATATTACCTGAGTGCAGAATTGAATTTCCTAAAAGCAAACGCATCACCTGGATCCATCAAAAGCAGCAGAACCTCTTAATGTCAAAAATAGCTGTCTGTGATGGAGAGCAAAGCATTGTGGGGCTTTAAAGCAACAATTCCCTCACATTAAAGTCTTCCAGTGTGTCAGATAATAGATTCACTTTCCACTTTTTGATTATTTTGCTGTTTTGATGTATGGGAGACTCCTTTTTTTTTTTTTTCACTGTCTCTGAGTTGCATGGCTTTGTTCTGTCTCAGTCCGACCTGAAACGCACATTTTGATTGCTGTGATCAAAATGGGAATCTTCTTTTTGTTCCTATTGATGGTGTGTACTGTTGGTTTGGTTTCTTTTTGTACATTTGATACCTTTTTTCTGTATTTTCTTTTTATATATTAACCGGAGCGTTTTTGCTTTGATGGGTATTGATCTGGTGGATCTGAACTGACCTCTGGTGGCTGGTGACAAAATGATGAAGCTTCATTCCCAAAACGATCCGACAGGCGGTTGTAGTTGGATACGCGGAAGTTGAGAGTGAAGGTGGCAGAATACAGAGTGAACAGGGTGATTGTTTTTTTGTTTTTTAGTATTAGACACTGGTGTTGAACAGTGTGGGGGAAAAAACTTTTTCAGATTGATTTTGTGATTTTGTTTGCGATCTGATTTTTAAAAGTCACGCTTAAGATACATTTTCACTAGATTTTAACGTATATAAGGAGGATTTTTAAAGTAAGATGTGATCAAAAGTGTGACTGTCACCAAGGACGTGAATTAGTCAAACTACCCACTAACAGTTTAAACTTTAGGTCAGATGTGCTGCATAATGTTTATCTGAAATTGCAGCTTTTGCAATTTGCTAATTGCATTGCTTCAAAATTGCAGTTTTGTTCTGAAACCAGTTAATTCTTTAGCCTATTAGGCAGTTTTTGGTAGTTATTTTAAGAAGGAGTCGATATTGTAAGTTGACATTAGTTGCAGATCGTTTTGTGAATGAAGCTAACATCATCTCTTCTGGTATTTAGTTTTATTTACTCACCCCGACGCACCACAACCTGAGAATGGATAGGATTTGCTGTAGACTGACAAGATCTTGTACAGACTGTAATCATTAAGTTATAATCAAAGACGAGCACTACTTCCTGTGCCAATACTAGTAGACCTGCAGCATCTAGAACCTTATTTATTTCTGCCTTTGTACTCCTCTAGCTGCTGTTTCGAAGTTGCTTTGTTTGTATTTATCTCAACCCCACAGTATGCGCAGGTAAATGAAGATGCTGTTGTCACTCTGCAGATGTAACATGAACGTTGCCTTTGTCCTACAGATGTGGAGGGCAGAAAGTCTAAAAGCAGGAGCGGGGAGCCTCAGCCAAGCTGCTGAGCCCTGCCCCCCCCCCACCCTCGTCTGTCTGCTACCATGCAGTGAGCGCGTGGTGAGTGAGCGGGAGGATGATGGGATGGTGGGGTGGGGGGGCGGTCGGTCCTGTCTCCATGGGAACCTAAAACATGGTGTAACAGATGTCGTCCATCCTGCTGTGCACTTCTTGCCTCCCCTGCTTCTCTAAGCCCGAAAGCTCCCCTCCACCCTCCCTCACTGTCCTGTCCGTCCCCTCACTGTCCCTGCGCTGCCAAGTGGGCCTGATGGTCTGCATGGCATATGGGCCGCTTTATCGTGTTGCTCTGAGTGGATGAACGCTTTGCTTGCCTTTTTTTTTTTTTTTTTTTTTTGTGTCCCCAAATCCCCTCAAACAAGAGGAGTCACTGTGTCCCTCCTTCATACGCTGTCGCTGAGTGTGTCGTACTGCTGAACAAGTTGCTGTTTTCAGGATGCTTCTATCATTGCTGCATGGCTTTGGTGTAGCGCTGAAATCCTTCCCCCTTTGCATGTAGATCCAGTCTGGCTGCTTCCCGTCTATCCCCCCGTGTTAAATCACTGTCTTCTTCACTGATACAACTTCTGACTTTTAACCTTCTTCTTTCTCTCTCTTTTTTTTTTACTTTAATTTTGTTCTGTTTTCTTTATTTTTATTCTTTCCGCTCCTCTTGCTTGCTTGGGACTCAGAGAGAAAGGTGGCCTTGGAGCTGTGTGTCTGAAGCCTAGTAGAGTTAATCTGCTGAGACCGTCTACAGTGAGAAAAGATTGTATATCCCAGTTTCTTCCCTTTTTTTTTTTGTTGTTTTTTTAAAACCCAGGACACTTGAGTAGAGAAAAGTGGCTTCCTTCTCTGTTTTGTTTTTCTTCCTTGAATCAAGGAAACAACATAAAAATACTAGAAAATGTTGCAGTGACAGTTTTGTTTTGTTTTTTTTCCATAAAGACTGCTGTGGCAGCTCGCACTGCCGTGTGTCCTTTAGACGTGCACTAGTCTCTGCAGACTAAGATAAAAGTGCCAATGTTCACACAACAGCCAAAAGGGCGATTTTAAACCATGACTCCACTTTGGATCTTCTGCGCAACTTCAAAATCGGATGGACCTTATTCTGCCCAACGCCATGATCGTTAAAAAAATCTTTGGATACGGGCAGAACGCACAACATAAAGCATGTCAGCACAAAAACATTTCCAGCTGCTGAAGAATCACAATCTGCATGGAGCAATCAAACAGCCAATCATCCCACTTCCTTTATCCAATCAAAGAGGAGGACAGTGCTCGGTGGGAGTTTGACCCGCCAGGATGCCAAATGGACTTTGAAGCCATGACAGCTCGGCGATCGGCGCCCGTCGCCTGCCGATCCCGAGTGAAGGTTGTGTGATCTGAGAGAGAGAGACTGATCATGGGAGCGTTCCAGGTCACCTATAGGACAGGTGGCAGCCATGAAAGACACCCCGAAACAAACCCTTCACGCCGCTCATCCTCGCTTAAAATCGTATTTCATCACTGACCAAATGGCTCTGATTCATCTCATGTGTCACCTCCCATCCCGCTCTGGTAAAGAAAATCTAACGGTAAACGCACACATACAGCACCGCGCATCCACTTTCCTGTTTGTAAATCTGACTTGGAGTATAGGTGACCTGTGACCTGCCCGGTTTAAATACAGAACATGTGCAGATATCTGTTGTTGTGTTGAACATGATGGTGGTGATGAGACCCAGTGTTTTCCTCCTTTTCCACTTTTACATGAATCCATTTGATGTAATTAAAATTCATCAAGACTACTGTGGGCTCTTTTTTTATTTCTTTTGTACATTAGATGTTATATTTTGGACCATTGGCCTGTGTGTGGGTAAATGTTCTTTTTTCCTTTTCAGTATTGCACTAAATCTAATACTCTGATTCAAATTATTTTGGTTCCTGGACTATAAAATAATCCTACCTTGGTCAGTTTTTGTTGATACTGTCACAGACATAATTTTAAAGCCGTTATAGTGTTGAATTATGCTGAGCTCCGAGTCTATTGGGTACATCTAGTTATATAACTATTGCAGTCTAATGCTGCAATGAATGAATCATACTTCCATTAGGTTATAATGCTCTGTTTGTGATCAGACTGTTTTAGATCAAGTTTATGATCATCTTGGAAGCTGCAGTTTGTTTCTGAATTGTACTTTGTGGTGATGAAAAGTACGTATATTTACTCAAACACTGCAGTTTGTTGGGGTACTTTGCTTGGGTATTTTAGTTCAGTTATCTCCACTCCACTGCATTTCAGAGGCAAGTCGTGTTGTAGTTATGTTTTGTCGAATCTGCAAACTATGAGTAGGTTATACAATAAATTAAACCATCCACTGGCTAGAATCACTTCCACATCGGCCAGTTACAACAGTAAAATGCGGTGTGCATAATTGTGCATCAGTAATATTTTGCCAGTTGTAACAATATCAGCCTGATTGAGGAATTTGGAATACATGGTAGGTAAACTAACCCTAATGCTCTGAGTTTGCACACCTAAAATGCAAGACTTTGACTTGTAGTGTGAGTACTTCTACAATGTGCCGCTTTAAGAAATGATCTGAATGGTTCCACCACTGTTACTGTTCTGTACTGAGGTGTTGCTAATATTTTGCAGTCTCTATTCAGATCATTGAGGGTAAATTAAATAAGACACAGCTCATCATTTAGAGCCGTTTTCAATGTTGTGGTCCACCTCATGATGTATGAACATGGGGTGGAGTAAACAACCAGGGTAGCATCACATTCCAATAGTGATGATTTAGATTTTAATTATTTTTATTTTATTTTCTATGGTAAAGTGGGGTCTTAAAAAATGCTGCAAAACAAATTATATCGTTTTTTAATTTTTATTTTTTCCCGCTTACCTGGCGCCTACATTACCCAGAATGCACTACGGCCGCCAACGGTTACCCCGGAGACTTGAACTAGGTATGCTAATAGCGGCTAATGTAGCCTCAAGCTAGCCTAAATCATTATTCGTTTTATTTACGTAATTGTGTATATTTCTCTATATACTAAATATTGTTTTATTTATTTTTTGTCATGTTCAATATAACCAACTCAACCGACCTGTAACTCATTTTTTCGGCTCTACATGTAATTAGCTTGTACTCCTCCAAAACCTGTGGCCAGAGTTTGACGTATAAAAATGTGGTGATATTACATGTTTGCAGGTTAATTTTTAGGTAAGCTTTTTTTCCCCCATCAAACAAAAGGTGGCAATAAGTTATGCAAACACCGTGCAGTGGAAAAAAAAGAGTGGAGCTAGTGAGGCTACATCAGTTTGCTTTAGGTTTTTTTGTAGCTGCTAAACTGGGGCAGCTTCACCTTTTATGAGAATAAGTGAGAACATGTGTTAGTGTTCCTTAGTGAGTCACTTCAGGGAAACACACCTCATCCTGCCTGAGTGATGGAGGAGGAATGACACCGCCGTGAATCAGAGGTATGAAAACACATGACTTTATACCCACACAGAGGAGCACAAACCTGAAGGAGATATATATGAAAACACAAGTTACAAGCCAGCTCTTCCAGGCTGTACTTGCTAGTTGTCGTCCTACATGTTCATACTGGTGGTTAAAAGTAGAAGAGATGGGAAACAAAATCCACAGTTCTTGAGTTGTGTAAAAAATACCAGTGATGGAAGAATTAATTAGATCCTTAATAGAAAACAGTAATAACACACTGTGAAAATACTCTAGGTGAAGTAACCTCACCAAAGTAAAAGTATGTATATATTCTGAGCAAAATGTAAGTATATGAAGTACTTATTCTACAGACAAAATGTTCTGTTAGTGTTTCATGATCACATATATATATATTGCTGCTGATAGTGTTGAAGATTGAACCACTTTACTCTTTGGTAGTTTAATTCACAGCAATGCATCACATTCTATAAGAGTAATATATGTATCATAATAATAAGTCTGTTTTCATCATCATCATCGTTGTAGTTGTTATACATTTAAAAGTTTTTCTACCACTTAAAATATAATATTAAGAATGTTTGTAACACACAAAGGAGCATTCAATCTTCAGGTTTATCTAAAAAAAAAAAAAAAAAAATAAAAAAAAAGCAAAAAAGAAGAAAAAAAACGCCTACAACACAAAAAAGAAAAGTTGTAACCCTGAAAAATAAACTGTCAGACAAATGTAGTGAAGGAAAATGGATAATATTTGTCTCTGGAAAGTAGTGGAGTAAAATATAAAGTTGCCTAAAACTGAAATATTTAGGTGAAGTAGTCTGAAAATAGACTTTCAAATAACAACTAAAGCTAAAACAAGAAGTTACACAAATCTTGTCTTCTAATTAGTGTTTGCAGTATAAAATCCCTCTATTGAGAGGTGTGGATTTTGTCTCCACATCACTACACTGGAAGCGCTTTAGGTTGATTAGTTTGGTGTGTGGCGCTCCCTAGAGGTCAGCGTTAGTACTGTGCTTACCAGATATGACATAACATACTAATGTAGTAACAGCAGGTATTGGTTTGAAGAACAGCGCTCCAGCTAATGGTTGTTTTCACTGTCAAATATTCTGTTGATTATTTTCTAGATTAATCGATTAGTTGTTTGGTCTATAAAATGGTGGGAAAAGTGTTTCCTAAAGCCAAGATGATGAATGTCTGCTTTTGTTCACAGCTCAAAGATATTCTGTTTAGGGAAATAAAGAAATCAGAAAATATTCCAATTCAACACGCAGGATTCGGAAAATTAAGAGTTTTTATTTTCTTAAAAAGTTACTCAAACTGATCTGTCAACGATCAAAATGGTTCGCAATTAATTTGATAGCTGACAATTAATTGATTGTCTAGCAAATAAAAACTTAATCTGTTCTTGTGTAAGCAGGATGGGTTTTGTTCATGTTAATCAGAATCTTAAGTAAATCATTTGTCTTAATTAGGGTCCGAGCACTAACCGTGCAAGGACCCTATTGAAACCCTTGTGATTATTAGGGTCCGAGCACCCAAAAGGGTGCGAAGACCCTATTGGAACTGCT